TGCATACAGTGGAGTTTGGCTCATGAAGAATATTTAAATCTTGGCCTCTGACATTTAGCACTGGTTTATTAGGGGCTGAACATGTCACTCTCTCTTTTTGGTAGTTTTTGAGAATGTCTAACCTGTATCTGTTCCTCTTATGCTCTGTACCAATGTTTCTCAGTTCTCAAAAATATAGAATATAGAACAAATGTCCAAAAATAAAGAAGTTGCTTTTTCAAAGCTTATACTGATGACCTTTTTTTCTCCTACCATAGAATATTTCAAAAGGAAACAGCAAAAGAGGTACATGTTATTCAGTAGGCTGCCCTTCCTAGATAAGGAGGTTGTGACAATAATTGGAAAGGGAGAAATTACAGTATTTTAACTCATGTCACTACTCAATATTTTTTCCATAAGTTGCAAGGAAAATAACTATATGACAATGCAGATGCATTGAGAGAAAAACTACATTGTCGGCAAGTTATTGAAAAAGCAGTTTAAAACTAGAGCAGCAGCAACAGGAATGAGTCTATTGAGAAAGAATTTCAAATCTTGTTCCTATAAGTCCTTTGGGCCTCTGTCCCCAGTTATACAGGTGAAACTTAAAAAATTAGAATATCACGCAAAAGTTCATTTATTTCAGTAATGCAACTTAAAAGGTGAACCTAATATATGAGATAGACTCAGTACAAGCAAAGCAAGATAGTTCAAGCCGTGATGTGTCATAATTGAGATGATTATGGCTTATAGCTCATGAAAACCCCAAATCCACAATCTCAGAGAATTAGAATATTGTGAAAAGGTTCAATATTCTAGGCTCAAAGCGTCCCACTCTAATCAGCTAATTAAGCCATAACACCTGCAAAGGGTTCCTGAGCCTTTAAATGGTACCTCAGTCTGGTTCAGTAGGAAGCACAATCATGGGAAAGACCGCTGACCTGACAGTTGTGCAGAAAACCATCATTGACACTCTCCATAAGGACGGAAAGCTTCAAAAGGTAATTGCAAAAGAAGTTGGATGTTCCCAAAGTGCTGTATCAAAGCACATTAATAGAAAGTTATGTGGAAGGGAAAATTGTGGAAGAAAAAGGTGCACAAGCAGCAGGGAGGACCGCAGCCTGGAGAGGATTGTCAGGAAAAGGCCATTCAAAAGTGCTGGGGACTTTCACAAGGAGTGGACTGAGGCTGGAGTCAGTGCATCAAGAGCCACGACACACAGACGGATCCTGGACATGGGCTTCAAATGTCATATTCCTCTTGTCAAGCCACTCCTGAACAACAAACAACATCAGAAGCGTCTTACCTGGGCTAAAGTAAAACAGAACTAGTCTGTTGCTCAATGGTCCAAAGTCCTCTTTTCTGATGAGAGAAATTTTTGCATCTCATTTGGAAACCAAGGACCCAGAGTCTGGAGGAAGAATGGAGAGGCACACACTGCAAGATGCTTGAAGTCCAGTGTGAAGTTTCCACAGTCTGTGTTGATTTGGGGAGCCATGTCATCTGCTGGTGTTGGTCCACTGTGCTTCATTAAGTCCAGGGTCAACGCAGCCATCTACCAGGAGATTTTGGAGCACTTCATGCTTCCTTCCACAGACGAACTCTATGGGGATGCTGACTTCATTTTCCAGCAGGACTTGGCACCTGCCCACACTGCCAAAAGCACCAAAACCTGGTTCAATGACTGTGGGATTACTGTGCTTGATTAGCCAGCAAACTCGCCTGACTTGAACCCCATAGATTATCTATGGGGTATTGCCAAGAGAAAGATGAGAGACATGAGACTGAACAATGCAGAAGAGCTGGAGGCTGCTATTGAAGCATCCTGGTCTTACATAACACCTCAGCAGTGCCACAGGATGATAGCTTCCATGCCATGCCGCATTGAGGCAGTAATTACTGCAAAAGGGGCCCAAACCAAGTACTGAGTACATATGCATGCTTATACTTTTCAGAGGTCCAATATTGTTCTATGTACAATCCTTGTTTTATTGATTGCATGTAATATTCTAATTTTCTGAGATTGTGGATTTGGGGTTTTCATGAGCTGTAAGCCATAATCATCTCAAATATGACACATCTCAGCTTGAACTATCTTGTTTTGCATGTAATGAGTCTATCTCATGTATTAGATTTACCTTTTAAGTTGCATTACTGAAATAAATGAACTTTTGCATGATATTCTAATTTTTCGAGTTTCACCTGTAACTTCCTATTTGAGGTTAGTGCCAGGTAGTTTCTGCTACCAATATTAATCTTACTGAGAATAACTCACCTGATATCCTTCCACTAATTCCTACATGTGAGAGGTTAATGTACTCATATTCCTCCTCCTGCTCTCCTTTCTATAAAAAGAACAGAACAGAATAGAACAATAGAGTTGGAAGGGACCTTAGAGGGTCTTCTAGTCCAACCCCCAGCTCAGGCAGGAAACTCTATACCAGTGATGGCTAACCTTTTTGCTGTTGTGTGCCGAAAGTATGTGCATGCGCGTGCCTGCACCCATAATGCAATGCGCTTGTGACTCCCTGCTCCCTGGGGATGCACGCCCCCTGCACACACTGTGCACAATTTCCCCCATGCCACATGGCTCTGCGCATGCGCATGTGTCTCCCATGTGCGCCCCACCCCTGAGCATGTGCAGCAGATACCAACAATCAACTGGCTGGTGGTGCACGCATGCACAGTGTATCTGTTCCGGGCAACGGCTCGTTTGCCAGCAGAAATGGCTCTGCGTGCCACTTCTGGCATGTGTGCCATAGGTTCACCATCACGGCCCTATACCATTTCAGACCAATGTTTGTCTAATCTCTTCTTAAAAACTTCCAGTGTTGGAGCATTCACAACTTCCGGAGGAAAGTTGTTCCACTGATTAATTATTCTAACTGTCAGGAAATTCCTTAATTCTTAATTCCTAACTGTCAGGAATCCTCCTTAATTCTAGGTTGCTTCTCTCCTTGATTAGTTTCTATCCATTTTGTCCTGCTTTGGAGAATAGATCGATTCCGTATTCTTTGTGGAAACCCCTGAGATATTAGAACACTGCTATCATGTCATCCATAGTCCTTCTTTTCATTAAATTAGACATATCCAATTCCAGCATATATGTTTTAGCTTCCAATCCCCTAATCATCTTTGCTGCTCTTCTCTATATAATTTCTATAATCTCAACTTCTTTTTTACGTCATGACAACCCAAACTGGATGCAGTATTCCAAGTGCGGCCTTACCAAGGCATTATAAAGTGGTATTAACACTTCATGTGATCTTGATTTCATCCCTCTGTTAATGCAGCCTAGAACTGTGATGGCTTTTTTGGCAGCTGCAGCACACTGCAGGATCATATTTAAGTGATTTCCCACTAGGACTCTAAGGTCCCTTACACAGTTACTACTATTGAGCTAGGTATTACTTATACTACCATGTTTTCCCAAAAATAAGACCTGGTCTTATTGGGGGGGGGGTTGCTCCAAAATAAGTGCTAGGGAAACACGATTTCAGGATGATCAGCCCTGCTGGGCGCCCCAATCCCCACAGTGTGTGGACAAAAGGTGGCAAGCACACGGGGGCTGATGGTGTCCCGAGCAGCTGTAGCCTGCTGATTGTGGGGGCTGATTACCTGTCCAAGCAGCAGACAGCGGCTGAGGTGCAGGGTGGAAGCATGCAATCTGGACGCACTGTGCAGGCCATGGGAAAACAGAAAGTTGGTGGGCTAGAGTGGGCGGCCAACCACAAGAGGCTTGTCTTCATGTCTCTTGGCTTGCCTGTGGTGCACGTGGAGCATCAGGTTTGTCTGCCTTCTCTTCCTGTATCTCTGCCTCTGTTTTCTGCTGATGCTGCCACATGAAGACGAGCCTCCCGTAGCCATCCACCTGCTCCAGCCCACTGACTCTCAGCTTTCCTGCAGCGCATCCGGATTGCCTGTCTCCCTCCTGCCTCTGCCTCCACCAGTTGCTGGGATGGGTAATCAACTTACTTACTCTGCAAAGGCTATGGCTGGTACTGGACCCCATTGCCCCCATGCCCTCGCTGCCTCCAGTGTTGACCATGCACAGTCCCACCTGGGCTGATGACAATCTTCACTAGGGCTTATTTTTGGGATAGGGCTTATATTAGGCACATGCTTAAAAATCTGGCTGGGGCTTATTTTCAGGATAGGTCTTATTTTTGGAGAAACATGCTATACCTGTGCATTTAGTTTGTCTTGCCTAAACTTTCATAATTTCCCGTTTGCTAATTGTAATCACACATTCCCAACTGCCTCTCCTTTTTCTGATTCAGTTGATCAACCACTGATGTAAACTTTTCCTTCATTGATCATGGGATCAGCAAGCAAGCACTTCATTCAATAGAGAATATTAAAGCAAACATGTTTTATGACCCACATACCAAACAACCTTCTTAAAGCAGCCGATCATGATTATTCACTCATATCAACTATGTATAATTATTGTTCCACTACAAATCTCCATGAAAATTTATTCTCATACAACTCTAGTCTCAGGTTATTGCTCCACAAATATGATGAAATGAACTATGAACCTCATAAACTTGTAACAATAGCAACATTTGTTTTAAGACTACAGATTTTTTTTATGAAACAAAACACAGCTGTTCTTCTGGAAATGTTTAAAATTTAAAATTTTATAAACTGTGATTAATTTACATTTTTGAAAATGTATTGTTCAAATCTGAATGTATAGATTGAAGTCTGTTCAAATATATATGTATTATTAATGTACCAGTTTCTTTCTTTGTATGGGTCCTCCATTATAAGACAAAAAAATAACCTCAAATCTGACACATAATAAACATATAAAGTCATCAGAAAAACAAATATACCTTTAATGAAACAAGGCCAATACTGGCTTTAGGCATAAGCTAAACAAGCTACAACTACAGCCTTAATCTATTGAATCCCAAGGTGGCCAGAGAATCTTCCAAATTTCCCTTCAGAAGAATCTTCCAAATTTCCAAGGAATTTATTAGAAAAAGAGAAGATTAGCGTTAGGATATCCTTACCAAGTATAATGTTTCCTACCCAAACTAGAAGCAACTTCCAGAACTTCTAGATTCTTCAAAGTGTTTTGGACTATTTTCCAGAGTCACTGGGTACTTTGAAATCTTGCTGGAGAAAGAGGCTAGAGAATTTCCCTTTGATATATCAATAAGTAAGCCAGGGCGTGTTTAGCTTCTTTCAAAGCTAAATCCTTTGGGGATTCCCTGTTAAGCAGAATGGAGGGAAAACAGAAACTTCAAGTTTCCTCTGAGAAACTTCCTCCACCCTCGTGCCACTATGAAAGAAGAAGAGGAGGAGGAGGAGGAGGAGGAGGAGGAGGAGACCGGGAGGAGTAACACTCTTTCATACATACACTTAGATTTAAAGTGTACAGATTATGAGAGCTAATCCAGCAGGAATCCCGGGGAATGACATTCAGCATATTCTCAAAGGTGTTGAACATTTCCACAGCTCTGTCAGCTATGATCTTTGCTGATCCAGTCAGGTTTGACAGCAACCAGTCATGTCCTGATCACATCCTGTGTTTGCAAAATCCTCTAAAAGGGACAACATTTGAAATCTCTAGAAGTTGCAGGTGGGTTTCAATCAGAGGTGGTATTTAGCAGGCTCTGACCAGTTCTGGAGACCCGGTAGTGGAAATTTAGAGAACCGGCCAATACTACCTCTGACTGGAGATTTTACAACATCCTTCCCCTGCCATGCTCACCAAGCCATGCCCACAGAACCAGTAGTAAAAAAATTTGAATCCCACCGCTGGTTTCAATACAGTACTAACCTATGCAAAGTACCAAGATGACATGGTGTCTGAACTGAAAGATGGTTACTAGTTGCTTAGCAGGCCAAATTTAAACTGTGGTAATATTTGTCCTAAAACCCATAATGGTTTGGGGCAGTGGTTCCCAAACCTTTTCAGTCCACCGCCCCCTTGGTGCTACAAACTCATCCTTGGTGCTCCCCACCCGGGGATAGGATTCAAATTTGTGTGGGCATGGCCTAATTTGAAGTGTGGCTTGCTGGTTATATGACTGGGTGAGTGTGGCTTGCTGGTCATGTGACTAGGTACGTGGGGCTTGCTGGTCATGTGACTGGGTGGGCGTGGCTTGCTGGTCACATGACCGGGTAGGTATGGTTTGGTGGTCATGCGACTGGGTGGGCATGGCCAGGTGACTGGCAAACCAAATACAAGTGGTCCTCACTTAATGGCTGGTTGCTTAGCAAGTGTTCTAATTTATGACTAGCCTCCCCAGAGCTACTTGACCTGTTTTTGGAGTTTTGACAGCCACGCACACACACACACACACACACACACACACATATACTCCTAACCCTTCTGGAGCAGGTCATTGGACTAGAATCGACAAAGCATCTCTGATTAGATTCTTGTAGTGAATAGAATCTAATCAGAGATGCTTTGCCGATTCTTGTTGATGTTTTATTTGTATTTCTTTATTTTATGTTGCTGAATTGCACTGACATGTGTGTCCCTTCTTGTGCACATCCCAGAAGCTTTTGTGGTTCTTTGCAGCAAAAATTACTGGCCTCTGGCTTTGCTCTACTTTTCAAACATGCCACCACTGCTGTGTTCTAGGTGCCATCCCATTGATCCTGCTGCATCGGAGAGACCTGCCAAAGCAAGTCCGAGCGGAGTGGGGGGGAAAGGGTGCAAGCTGTTTCCCCCCCACCCTTGCCCCCTAGCCCCAATTCAGCCTCCATGCACATGCGCCCCTTGCCAAGCTACAGAAGGCTGCTGGGGGTGGGGTGGGGTGTCCCAGACCCTGGAGTGAGTGGGTGGGTGGATGGGTGCAAGAGACTCCTTAATCCGTATTGCAACTGGGGAAAGGGTATAAGCCTGTTCATCTCCCCCCCGCCATCCTCTCCCCAATTTTCCCAGCTTGGGGGGAAAAAAAACCAGCGCTGCTTTCCCCCCCCCCAGTCCATTCCTGTTTACGCGCCCATGCACTCCCGCTCGCCCACCCACTTTGCACCGACAGGGCATCCTTCCCCCCGCCACTACTGGCAGCTCTTTGGGCAGCACGCGGCGCAAGTCCTGCGCAGTGAGGTGGCTGGCTGCCTGCGCAAACTGGCTGGCTTGGAAGGGTTGCTTACCCCATTGAACCCCTTGCACCACTCCGGTGCAACAGTCAATGGGGTAAGCCTGAGAGAGGGAAAGAGAGAGAGAGAGAACTGGTAGAATCCCACCCCTGAATTGCACCCTGCACCCACCTCCAGTCCCCCCCCCACCTCTTAGCTTCCCCCTGCTGGCCCCCTTGCCTCTTAGCGCCCCCCTAAGGCATCCCACCCCCCCAGGAGGCGGTACCGCCCACTTTAGGAACCACTGGTTTAGGGCCTGATAATCTGAAAGATTTCATCATCAGTAAACTATTGAAATCTGTGGCAAAAGCCTGCCCCACCCTTGTGACATAACTGCTATGAGGGATTTGTATATCTGGCACTTGAGGGTGGTCAGTATGCAATCTATTTGTCAAAGAGACCAGGCCTTTAAAGTCAGGTGACCTTCTTTGTGGTTTAATTTTATTTTATCTTCCATTTTTATTTGTATGAGTATATTGTAAAATAATTATAGCATTCTCTCTGAAGGGGTAGGCAGCATACAGTTTATTTTTAAATTAAAAATGAAATTTTAATCTAAATGTTTACATTTGATTTAAAATTATTTGTTACATCTTATACCGTTGGAGAAAAATAAATGTAAAGTTTTAGCTTAAAAATATGGAAAGTTGCTCTATTAGTACTTCCCTTCATGGAAATCTAGGGATTTCTTAGAGGAGGGCCCAGGAGGGTCTACTGTTGCTCCTGCCCGCCCATGTGAGGTTGGCCCCAACCAGAGGTGGTATTCAGCAGGTTGTGACCAGTTCTGGAGAATCCGTAGCGGAAGTTTTGAGTAGTTTGGAGAACCGGCAAATACCACCTTTGACTGGAGATTTTACCGTCTCCTTCTCCTGCCACGCCCACCAAGCCACACCCACAGAACCGGTAGTAAAAAAAATTGAATCCCACCACTGGGCCCAACTCTCCTATCGTTTTGTAAGAGGCTAAAGACAAGGCTTTGCCCCATCAGCTTGGGACTCCAATGGGGAAAGAGCACAATAGAGGTAGTTGATTGAGTAATAACAGATCCCATCTGCCCCCACACTCTGTCCTCTCCCTGTGTATCTTTGGTTTTAATGTTTGTTTTTAACCTTTCTTGTTTTAGCTTAAATGTACAGTAACTAAGCTGCTCAGAGTTACCCTAATATATATATATATATATGGACATCCAATAAATTTTATTGGGTATTGGTGGAAACCTTTCATTTTCCTCAGCTAAGCAGACTTTTCTGATCACCAAACACAGAAACAAACCTGTGGAACATCCTCCTTTCTATCAAGTCTATCTGAATGAGGTGTGCAATAAACCCTTTTCAGGAAGGAAGGAAGGAAGGAGGGAGGGAGGGAGAGGGAGAGAGAGAGAGAGAGGGAGGGACGGAGGATAGGAAGGAGGAAACTCCACGTGTTCGTTTCTATGTTTAGAGATCAGAGGAAATTAGCTGAGGAAAACGGAAGGCTTCCACCAACGCCCCATCCACTTGGCTACTTCTCAGTCTTATATATATAATATATATATAGAGAGAGAGTGCCTGTAGGACTGCAACTTTAACTTGGGTTTCGCTTTCTGCCACCCAAACGACATCCAAACAAAACTTCCCGTGAAGCAAAGCGACGATCGTTTGACCTGGAGAAACTTCTTTTTCGGCGCCCTTCGTCAAACTCGGTTCCCCAAGAACTGGCTGCAGCTTTGCCTTACTGCCACCCGCGGCTTTAGATTAGCCGCCACCGCGGCTTCTCGCCCCCGTTTTCTTTCGGGTTTCAATCGCTGTCATTCGTAGAGTGTCATTGTAAGTATGGCTGAGTCACCTATTTAAAATAACCCAAGGTAGGGCCTGGTAGTAACCCAGATTAACGGGTGTGTGTGTCCTTGTTCCCTTCACTATTTTTCCCGAATGTCTGTATTTTTCTGGTTAGGATAATAGTATATAAGTCCCTTCCCACACCTTACCCCCGAACCTGCTCCTAAGCAAACAGACATTGGGTGATAGCCTAAGTAAGCGTCTTACTTAAGGGACCCTGGTCCTTAATAAGCAAGGATGATTATTAGTACCGCAGCAAATCTGATGATGTGGATTTTTATTAAATGAAGGTCACGTGTTTTCGGAAATAACCCCCCCCTCCGGGGTTTTTAAGGGTTTGCTCCTAGCGATTGTAGCAAAAGACAATACCCACGGTTAAGGCTGACAGAAAGCGGAAGATCGGGGTATAAAACCAAGTCCGCGGTTTGTGAAACCAGCGGAGAGCGGAGACGCCCCACTTACCCCTTCGGGAGCTTATGCGCGAAGGAGGGGGCGGTGGGCAGGACCCCAATTCTCCTCAAGCAGGACTCGGCCTAGACAGGGCGTATTGGACAGCGGTTGCTGCCGGCTCCGTAGGACGGAATTGGGACTCAGGTATCCGGGGCGTTGCTAGCAAAGAACCCGGAGTGGCGAGCAGGAGAAACCGAACGATTTGTGTTTGTCTGTTTTTTTATATTTTTTTTATTCGGCTTGACGAAAGCCACAATAGAAATAGGGACTTACGACGATACCTGGAGAATTGTGCACTTGGTCTCCGAAACTATTGCTTAATCCTCTAGACTAGAGTTGGGTACTGTCCCTTATCTTGTTGCTTAAGTTAGTGGCAGGCTAAACGAGCCTCGAGGTGCCTATCACAGAAACACTAGGCGGCATCTTTACAGTTGACTCGATCTCTCTCCTCCCAATAACAACGCCTTTTCATAAACTTCACAGCTTCACTTATTGAGGGTTCCTTTTTTTCGGAGCACTAGTTCCTTTAGTACGGGGGTCTTCAAACTTGACAGCTTTAAGACTTGTGGACTTCAATTCCCAGAATTCCTCCTCCAGTCATGTTACCTCAGGAATTTTGAGAGTCCACAAGTCAAAACTTGCCACGTTTGAAGACCCGGTGCTTTAGTAGCTTCCGCTTCACCTCTTCTTAACTTGGTTATTGAATTAATCTGTCTTTGTACACGGGGCAAACTCATAAAAGGGCAGGGTTGACATTGCCTCTGCTGCAAGACTGTTTTGTTTTGTTTTTAAGAGAAAACCACT